GGGGGGGCAGGGAGAGTTTGGGTGAGGTTATAAACCAGTGGGGGGATCATAGGTCATTATGGGGCGGTGATAGATGGGTGCTGGTCAAAGGTCAGTTGGGGGGAGGGGAGTTTGGGGGGGTGTCCCTGAATATCCCTTCCCCCCTATTTAGGGATGTGAAGCCCCTGGAGCACCAACTGCGCCCCAGGGGCCTGGGCCTGGGAGCCGACCGCTCGGCCATCCAGGACCTGCAACCGGCCCGCCCCCCACGGCCCCTCAAGCCGGGTGAAGAGCGCCAGGGGGGCGAGGAGGAGCCGCTGGGGCTGGCGGCCGGGGGCGCCGTGCTGATCGTGGCTGGGCCCCACAAAGACCTCTACGGGAAGGTGAGTTTCCCCCGTTCCCGGCCTCCCCGAGCCAGCCAGTCCCCGCCCTGGGGCCGGATGGGAGCCGGCGCCCCCTAGAGGGGACAGGCCCCTGCCCCATTCCCCACGCCCCTGAGCCAGCCAGTCCCTGCCCTGGGGCCAAATGGGAGCCGGCGCCCCCTAGAGGGGACAGGCCCCTGCCACATTCCCCGCCCCCCTGAGCCAGCCAGTCCCCGCCCTGGGGCCAGATGGGAGCTGGCGCCCCCTAGAGGGGTCAGTCCTCGATCCCCCAGTCTCATCTATTTCTCTCCCGGCCCCCAGATCGAAGGTGTAGACCCCGATAACGCCCGGGTGATGGTGAAATTGGCCATCGGGGATAAGATCGTCACCATCAGCCAGCACAGCCTGCAACCTGTGACCCGGAAGGAGTATGAGAAACTAGCCAAGGATCTGAGTGAGTCACATGACTTCCCTCGGTACCCCCGCCTCACCCTAGCTCCCCCCCCTCCTCCCCGCCATCCTCACCCCCATCTGTCTCCCCAATCCCCTTCTCAGGCCGCTTAAGCAAAGCCCACAAGGAAAAAGAAGAGAAGCAGAGAAATGGACCCACCGACGCCCCGGACGCCAGGGTCCCCCGAGTAAAGGGGGAAGAGAAGGACAGAAAGAGGAAACAGCCAGCAGACTCGGAGAGGTAGAGACCTGGGATGGCTCGCCTGGGGCTGAGAGGCGGCCACGTCTGGGGTGGGGC